AAAGAAAATTGTATTAAAATAACCAAAATATAGCATCTTTAAAATTTAAAACATTAATTTTGTTTTATAGATAGAAAAATTAAAATCAAAAGGCTTAACTAACAAATAGAAAAGAAAATTATGTTTAAAAACCAAAAATAGTATCCTTCAAAATAAAATAGAAATTTGTTTTCAAAAGAGATAAACTAACAAAAAAACAAGTATCATAACAACTCAAACTAATAATGTAGGTTAGGATAATTCTAACTTCTAAATTAATTGACAAGAAAATAAAAAAAAATATTAATTTCGTTTTATAGATGGAAAAAAAGCTTAAGTAACAATTTAAAAAAAATTATATTAAAAAAAACAAAAATATAGTATCCCTTGAAATTAAATGAAAATTTAATGTAAAAATGTAAAAAAGTCAAACTAACTAAAAATCAATATCGTAAAAATTAAAACTTATAGCGTATATTAGAAAATTTTATAACTTATAATGCATTGAACATATACAAATATATAATAATGTATATACTGTCTAGATGCTATTAAAAAATGATCATTATCAAAGACGAGAAGTCATAATAAAATAATTTTTCACTTGCAATTAAAAAGATAAGCATATTTTTCCAACAAGTCATTTATATATATTCTAATCTGAAATACAATATATGTTTACTTATCACCCCTTTACATTTTCTAAACAGTGGGCCAACTGTTCATGTTACTCTTTTGCCAATTTTCAAAGAAAAATAATGAAAAGTGTTGTTAAACCTATCGTGCTCCTAACCACAATTATGAACTCAAAAACATTTCAAGGTTCATAGTTCCAAACATATAATTACTATTGTTTTACAATTGTTTATAAAATATGATGAATCCTGAAATAATTTAGATAATAAGATTTATTTAACTGTTAACACCATATTTTTACATTATGTAGAATTATTATTTTTGAACTCCACTTCTTCCATCCAGTTTTTACCGACAAAAATATTGAAGCAACTACTGACTATTTGACATGATAAGTATGCTCACATGCATATATTTCACCTATTGTGTTTTTAGATATGAAACCAAACTGTTTTAAAGCTATTATGATATGATGAGAAATTAAACATATTTTTATTAAAAGCTTTTTAACGGTTAGAGCATATCAAATCAGTATTATAACTAGAATTAAAATTAATATGAAAAACAAATTTAACAAAGATAAAGTATTTGTATAAAAGAAATTAATGTGATGTCTATGATATCTATTTGGAGAATCAACAACAAAAGAGCTTAATAAAAAAGAATATAAGTCCTAAGTATATCAAACATACAAAAATATATAAATTAAAATAAATAAAAATTATTATCAAAAGATGTAAATTATCAACAACTAAAAAATAAAACAAAATTAATTTGAAATGAGTTTCAAAAAGTTCCTAATTTCTAAAGTATTAGCATCAACAATGAATAACTATCTAAAGTTCCAATAGGTTTACATGAGTTTCTAAACCAAACATATTTTTAAATATACAATGATTAATACACTTGATTTTTCTGATTTAAAAACACTATAATAACTTTACAGTCGATATTTAACAAGTAGTAAATATGATTTCTATACATAGCTACTACTTATATCTGAATCAACATCAATAACACATTCTAAAATTCTATTTAAATAATAAAGTATAACATAGTTATGAATCAAACTCAAATTGCTATATATATGTAGATCAAATATTCAAATCAAAGCATGCATATTGCACACAAAAGATAAAAACAGTAAAAAATAATGCAAAGACTCCACACCATCGATCCTACAAGTTAGAAAACTAAAATTATCAAATATTAGACTGTAAAAAAAATAGATATCAATGAAAACTCAATAAAAATATAACATAAAACTCTTGGAAGACATGGTAGAGAAGGAAAAAACTGGTTTTACATGATCATTGCATCTTCCTAACAAAAAGTACGGCAGCCGGCGTCGGCCGGTGAGATCACGAACTGAAAAAGTAGTTACGATCGCCTTCTGAATCGCTTTGTTAGAGAGAAAAAAGCAGTTTTTTTTCTACCATTGCACCTCCTCTAAATTTTATATTTATATAAATATTTTAACTAAAAAATCTTATTTTAGATAAAACTTTATATTTGAAAATTGTTTATACAATTTTTTTAAAAAAAATTAGCAGAATAACTTATAGATAAGTATATAATATGGAAAATCTTAGGATTTAGTTTTTTCTTTTTCCCTATTAAAAATATATTTTAGTAAAAATTATATAAATCAGTATATAAGTAAGATTTTAGAATTTATAATTCAAGTAAAAACTAAATAAATATTATTTAGTATTTTGTTTTGATTTTCTTAAATAATTTTTAAATGATAAGAATTCAAAATAAAGTTAATTTAATTATTTTATATATAATTAATCCTAAAATTTTGTAAAAATAATAAATGTGTAGTTTTCAAATCCCAAGGCCTTACTACAGAGGTGGGTTGTGATTCTTGTACTTTTTTGGCTTCTGTTAACTAGATTCCAAACATTCTCCCCAATTGCACTGTATTGGTTTAGTTGTTTCATATAATATCGGTTATGTAAGTTTAACACTAGTGGCAATAAAAAAGGAATAGCACTAGCCTTGCTTTACCCATGAGTGACTTGTGTAGCTCTTGAACTGAGTATGGGATGTTTAGAAGCTAATGCGGATTCCTTTCTATGTTATGCAAATCGGACGAATATTCTTCGTATGTCAATGTTGAAGGCTTGGACATCACATCTCCTGGTGTGCCACTTGTATTGTTCACACCTCACTAGCTACTCTTATCAAACACATTGAATGTTTTCGTCTATCAATGGTTGTATATTGGATTATATGTTGAAAAATTGGATCGTTTTCTTTTAATTTGTCAGGGCGACCGTTTTAAACACAGATAACGTCAACCTTTGAGTTGACTGCTTTTTACAATGTGCTTGAGATACTGTGAAAACTTATACGATTAGGATTTGTGAATCCTTTCTTTTCAAACTGTCAAGACTAGGTTTTAAAATTATAAAACTTATACGATTAGGTATTAGGTTTTCAATTTCAGATTCCAACAAATTCGCAAAGATGAATATGATCAGCCACTAGTCAATACTATATTCTTATTCCCAAACAGAAAATCAACCATATATGTTGAATCGATGAACAAAAGACTGGTCCTGGAATATAAGTTTGGCATAGTCTATACATAGGATGGAACTGATCAGAGAATCCAGTTACCTCCAATTTCGTCGATAATCCTCTCTACTTTCTGCAGCATATCTGGATAATGAGGAAACCACTTGTTACATATATAAATGGTAGATTACTGAAATCTATATTAAGTGAAGTCGAAGCTGAAATGTCGAGATCGAATCTCACCTTGTTTACTGAAACCACTTGTTTACATGTATAAATGGTAGATTACTGAAATCTATATGAAATGATTGTTTGAGTGAGTAGTGGAGAGAAAGCTCACCTTGAAATGAAGAATCTTCCATGTACTTGTGCCAATATAAAAAAGTTGGAATCCCAAATCAGAAGAAATCATTAGAATTTGCGTTGCTGTGCAGAAAGAGATTTCACGAAGAAGAAAAAACTCAAGTTCTGTAATGCTACTGTACCAGTATCTGTGACCTAAGATCAGGATCCTGCTTTACAATTGTTTGGCTAAAGCACGTGTACAAATTCACAAACACTGCAATGTGATCAAACCTGCGGATAATCTCATTTTCAGGGTTGTAATCTGACTGGAAACACATCTCGGACCTAGTTTCACTTTTCTGGATCCCAGCTTCCTCTGAGCCTTTGAGTTTCTCCTGCAGACAGATCAACAAAACAAGGAATCACTGCCTATGATTCCTAGAAAATAGCTTATAATCTTTTGAGTTCTTCTTTGTACTCTTCAAATGTGCCTTGGAAGAAAGTCACTGCACCGTCTTAAACAACCCATATTTCAGTGTTATCCGAGTCGTGAGTCACCAACACAACTCCTCCTTTGAACCTATATAGTGCATCCGCCAACGCATCTATACGCTGCATGTCCAGGTGCTTCGTTGGGTCGTCAAGAACCAAAATGTGTGGCCATGACATTAAGATCGAGGCTAACACAACACTAGCCTTTTGTCCTCCAGATAAATTCGCAACTGGAGTGCAGTGGTTGTGACTTGGTAGCCCAAACTTGCCCAGTTTTGCACGCACCGCCTCTTCTTTGCTACATCCCTCTTGGTCAAGAACCAGAGTCTCCTCCTCTGGCTCTGGTTGGTTGGTTCGTCTAACAACAAAAGAGCAGATTGCACAAGAGAGAGCTCAAGCCAATGATATTCGTATCCTCCAGCCACCACTGAGCTCACTAGCTGGCTTCTCTATCTTTTGTTCTGAACCCCGCGATAATTTTGAAAGCCTGAGCATCAGCAGCAAGCATGACTTCAACTCGTGTAACTTGTCGTACACTTCACTCAGCTTTCCCTCGAACAGAGACGGAAAAAGAAATTGATCTTTATATCTTTAACATTCGCATCTCCCTTGTCTTCTCCTTCCAGGACCGAGGTCTTGCTTCCCATAACAACCGTGTATGCGTTAGGGTCGTCCTCTTTCAAGGCCTTCCTCTTTGCAATCTCTGCAGCCTCGAGAGCTAATCTTGCTTTAGTCTCTGGCTTCTTTTGTTCCTTTATCAGTCACAGAGAAATCAAGTTGCTTTTGTTTGCTCTCTTGATGATTCCCCATTGCATGCATTGGTCTCCTATTCTCATCAGAAAGGCCTTCGTCTCTGTCTTCTTATGCGGGAGGTTCAAGGAAGCTTCGAGTTTAAAAGGGTTTAGGTTTTCGTAACCGTTATATAGCAGCAATTCGGCCCAAAGCCCACATAAACAGAATTGGAAAAGAAAGGAAAAAAGTCAACCGAACGAGTTTCTTTCAAACTAAATTCACTAATTACCTTCAACATGTACAATCTTCAAATTTACTCAGTGAAAAATACCAAATTTTAACATTGACTAATGGCTATGGTATAAAAATTGTTTCAGAGTGAAAACATTCATTAAATATTTGGTCAATTGTGAGAGAACTAATTAAAAGACTTCCTTCTCATTCCTCCTATATTGACCTTTTTAATTATTATTTTTTTGTGTGGTCAAAATTTTTTTTAATTAAATTAAGGTAAGTTAACTCAACTTTAATTAAACTGTAATGTTACTGTATATTCAGGTTACCATCCAATCCATATGCACATTATCTTGACCAAGATTTCGCTTTCACAACATTCTTCGTGTTTATTTTATCTGCGCCACTAATTTTAACTAATCACACTGATACATTCAAGATTTTGATTGGCTTACTTCTTTTCTTTTCTACTTCCCTCTTCATCTACTCTCTCTATCTCTCTTCCCATTCAATTTCCCACATTTCTTGCTCTCCCTCTTCTTTGAGTCCTTGAATCTCAGTGTGTGTCTAGATCATCCATCCATCTCTGGGTTCACGAAATTCCTCGGCTTCTCCTCTGATTTTTCGTTTCGAGAATAGAAGATTCGAGCTCCTCAGCCACTAAATTAAGGTTTAGGGTTTCTTGGTCGACGTGATGAGTCATCGGCGTGACTCCTTTAGCGATGCAGTTCACGTGATACCCACCAACGACCCTCCGCCGGATAATCGTCCCGGAGACAGCTCCGTCTGGGCCACTGAAGATGATTACAGCCGTGTCTTGGCGGCGAACACCGATGAAACAGAGTCGCCGAGCAAGAAAACACGCGGGTCTCCGTCTTCCTCCTCCTTCGCCGAGATCGGGAAATCGTTCTTCAAGACGAAGCTCTGCTGCAGATTCCGCGCCGGTACTTGTCCGTACGACGCGAGCAGCTGCCATTTTGCTCACAGCACGGAGGAGCTACGTCGTCCGCCGCTCAATGGGCAGGAGACGGCGGGTGAGACTCGGGAGCAGGAGTTTAAGATCCCGGCGGAGAGTGGGAGATCGTACAAGGGAAGACATTGCAAGAAGTTCTACAGTGGAGAAGGATGTCCTTACGGAGAAAGCTGTACGTTTCTACACGACGAGGCTTCAAGAAACAGAGAGAGCTTTGCGATTAGTTTAGGTCCTCGTGGTTACGGTGCTGGTGGTGATGGCGGCAATGTTGCTCAGATTTTGAGACCTCCTAATTGGAAGACAAGGGTTTGCAATAAGTGGGAGACTACTGGGTATTGTCCGTTTGGTGCCAATTGCCATTTTGCTCATGGTGCTTCAGGTAAAGCTTCGACCTTTTTTTCTCGTATATTCGTTAACCACAATGTGCTTTGAAATGTAGAATAGAAATGGGTTTTAGTTAGTGTTGCTTGATGAGATTAGAGGGTCACTGGAGATTAGTTAATGGATGCTGAATATCTGGACTGAGAGATAATGTTTGAACACTAGAAATAGCTTTATTAGCTTGAGTCTGTCAAATTCTTCATGTAATGGCACTTGTTTCTTGAGGGTTTTCAGTGGACTGTGGGTTCCATTTGGTCAGTTATTAACCTTTGCCTTTGCTAAAATTTTTCCTGAAGAAAATATGATCAATGGTGATTGGTGAATTGATTGATTAAAATGTTTATAAGAGGGTTTTAAAAGGACTGCGAGTGGCTGAGTGAGACGGTTGATATGTTAGAGTGTGACATTCTCGATCTGCTTGTCATCCATGGAAATGCAGAAAGTTTCATCAAAGTCTGGTTCTTTATGATGCTGTTTTGCAGAGTTGCATATATTTGGTGGGGGACTCGTTGAAGAAGAAGGCAAGATCGGAACATCTGCTACTTGTAACACAAAGCAGACAGGACAAGCTGACAGAGTGACTAGCCTTGTTTCTCCTGGAGTCCCGTCCCAACGGCCATCTAACGCCGTTACTCAGAAACCCAATGGAGTCAGAACTCAACGGAAATGGAAAGGACCGGATAAAATCAGTCGGGTTTATGGTGATTGGATCGACGATATTGAATAAAGTCACTGCCTTCTAACAGATTGATGACAAAAATGTCTTTTTTAGAGTATTAACTATGTGATATATTAGCTTCCTTTCTTTTGCTGTTGTAGATTTGTGACTCAACTAAGAAAAAGAACCATCTTTTTGTTGTGTATCACTATCATGTTGTTCTCTTTCTTAGGCTAATCCTAAATGGCTAAATCTCATCTTGTACCAGACCAAACCGAAAGTACTTGGACGGTTTGTACCTGTTCTTTTTTCATCCGTCAATATTAATATTTTTACTCTGTTTTTTCTTTCAGATTCCAAAATTTGGATGTTTGATTTGACTTGTTTCGTGTTATTTTTAACATTAGAATTTAGAAAATATTTATTAAGACATTCATGTTTTTTTAATTTGTCACAGAAGACTCGCTCAAAATGCTAAGCAAAGCCACTGATGTGTCTCAAGCATAGCCACTTCCTTCTCCTCACTTCTCTCAACTCACTTAGAACAGTATTTCTTTTATGGCAAGCAACTCTCAGATCAAACCTTTCTTCTTTATCAAGCAATTTACGTAGCTGGGTGGCATCCGGAGTGTTTCTAATCCAGCCGTATCAATCTTCAGATGGCCTCAACAACAACTACAATACCGGATGCTGATGTCTTCCCTACCGTTTCCATGCCCGTCACCGTAGTCTTGACCGGAGCTCTACTCTTTGTAATTGTCGCCGGATTCTTCGCTCTCTTCTTCTGGCGATGTCTTCTGAATCGGTTGTTTTCAGCTTGGACCCTTCAGCGAGCACCTTACGGTGACCTTATCCATGTCACCACTCCGCCTGAAGACACCGGCCTCGACCCATTCATCATCCGGTCCTTTCCCGTCTTCCTCTATTCATCTGCAACAATGAAAAACTACGGTACGGAATGCGCAATCTGCTTGTCAGAGTTTTCAGATGAAGACACCGTTAGGCTCATTACGGTTTGTCGTCATGGATTCCATTCAAGTTGCATTGATCTTTGGTTTGAGTTACACAAGACTTGCCCTGTCTGTCGGTGTGAGCTAGACCCGGGACTGGTCGGATCTGGAAGCCATGAATCTTTGCACAACACAGTCACAATTACAATTCAGGACATAAACCACCATGACGATGAGAATCCTCCTGCAACTGGTTCAAGCAAAAGGCTTATGGAAGCCTCGTCTTGGCGATTCTCGAGGTCGCATTCTACAGGACATTTCAGGGTCAAGGCGACGGATGTCAACGTGAAGATCAAGAGAAGACAATACCAAACAGGAAGCTCTGTCACGTTCGAGGAAAACCATCCGACCACTAGCTCAAGCAAAAGGCTTGTGGAAGCCTCGGCTTGGCGATTCTCGAGGTCACATTCTACCGGACATTTCATGGTTAAGACGGCGGATGTGAATGTGAAGATCAAAGGAAGACATTACCAAACAGGAAGCTGTGTCTCGTTCGATGAACTCACTCGGTATGATGAAGCTGCACAGTACGGGATGGCCTGGTGATGCATCATACATTCCAATTTTGAAGTCTAGTTTACAAATAAATTCCATTTTTTGTGTTCTTTATAGAAGTAGTAGATATTCAAAACTGTAATAAAGATCTGTAGTCAGATCTCCGGACGAATAAACTGAGAAAGAATAAGAGTCATTCCACGGGATTTTCTTCAGAAGTATTGTTCTCTTCTATCGTGTCACCATCTTCAGGTTTTTCTTCAGAAGTGTTGTTGTCTTCTACTGTGTTACCATCTTCAGATTCACCGGCGGTTCTCAAGCTAAACTTGAGACTGATAGGTCTGCCCATTAGCTCCTATAGGAAAACGAAATAGTAATGAACTCTCTCTACAAGCCCAAGAGAAAGAAGCAAACTTTCGTATCTTGGTAATGACAAAAAGCAAACTTTATATACCTTCCCGTTGAGTTTAGAGATTGCATTCTCGGCTTCTTCTCTAGTAGGAAATGAGACAAAGCCATAGCCGGAAGATCTTCCTTCAGGGTCTGCGAAAACAACCCGAGCTGAAACCAGGTTGAAATCTGCAGCAGTGAAAAACTCACGGAGATGTGTTGATCTTGCTTTCCAAGCGAGGTTGGATACATAGAGTTTGTGACGGGTTTCTCCAGGGGAAACAGAAGGAAGACCGTTAGGAGGTTTCCGGGTAGGCTTCTTGAAGCTTTTTGCGAAGCTTACCTTTAAGATCCTACCTGAGACTTCCTGAAGACAAAAGAACACAGAAGCTTGTTTAGTACTAGAGGATGTAGAGAAATAGCTAACAATTCAACACTATGGCACTTAATCCTTTTATGAAGCTTCTCATTTCTTTAGCTGTTTCTAAGTTATCCGACTTAAATGGTTTGAAATTAACCTATCCACACTCAATCAGAGAAGAATCTAAAGGATTTTTGGATCAAGAACGCACAAGCCAAGACAGAAGAACATTGATAGAACAATTCAAAAAGGGGGAAATGGTTTGAGCTTACAAAAGTATCTAACTTATCAACAGCAGCTTGAGCTTCTTCTCCAGAAGCCATTGTTACAAAAGCAAACCCTCGATTCTTCCCATCTTTTAGCCTTATGATCTGAGAAAGTTTCAAAATTTAAGGTTTACCCAATTCGTAATAACAAAAAAGAATGCAATGAAGTTAAGAAATGAAAAAAAAAAAAGACCTCGACATTGGACACAGTCCCGCATTGTCCAAAGAGCTCGGAGATGTCATTTACGCTCATAGACCAAGGGAGATTGTAAACAAAAAGCTTCCTTTTCAGATTTGGCTTCTGGGTTTCCTCAGTCTTCTCCTCCGGCGAAGTTTCCTCCTCTGTGACGGAACAGAGCACGGAGACGAGCCGCCGCGAGTTATCGCCGGCGGCTACGAGAGGGGAATTGAGAGAGAGAACGGGAGAGAAGTTACTGGGAATTCTAAAACTTAAAGCGGTAGGTTTAGACTTTCCAGAAAATAGATAAGGTTTTGAGGAAGAAGAAGATGAGAAGGAGAGGATGGAGAGAGCAGCTTCGAGAACCGCCATTGTTGGCTTTTGTTTTTGCACCAGAGATATGGATTAGACCGAAAGAAGAGGATAGGTTATTCTGGACCGGTTTGGTTTTTCGAAAACCAACTTGAAACCGGATCTACCAACTCCGGTTCCAAAGGGTTATGGGCACGGGTAATTTACCGCATATTAATTTGTGCTTGTTGTACCAATAATTCGAATAAAAATTCAATTCCTAATTAAAAATCTCGGATTCGGCTTTAACTGGATTTGGATAGATTTTAAAATATTACAGATACACAAAATTAAATTCAGATATTCTATAAAATAAACATTTTGTCAATACAAAATCTTGTGAGTAGTAGTGACATAAGTAAATCCAATAAATAGGAGAATGATATTGGATTTGATATCAAATGAATTGAAAGTCCAGCCAGACGTCTACAATCCACTAATCCGAAGACCACTATTTACGTATTTATGCGATGCCTGTAGAACTACGTCGTTTACTAACAACTTCTACACACCAACCAAACCATTTCCTATTTATTTTTATTCGATGAAAAACAAAATTAAAAATCCAAATTTGAGAAAAGTCTCACACAAACTCGGAGAGGAGGAAGAAGAAGAAGAGAACCATAAAGCTTTTTCTTTTCTTCTTCCTTTTCATCCTAATCTCCTCAATCCTAAAACCCTAAACCCAAATTTCACAAATTTTCGTTTAATACTCTGTTTGAGCCAGAGGTGGTTTAAACTTTAAAGTGAGGTTTTTGCTGACATATATACTACAATGGCGTCGCTGGCTTTGTCGATTCCTCCCGCCGCTAAGACGCCGTCGTATTTAGCCTCGTCTTCTTCGACTTTCTTCTCCTCTTGCTCTTCTCTCTCGTTCAGGACCTCTCAGTCTCGCTCACGGAACTCTGTCTTCGCTTGTGTGGTAAGCAGTGCTCGTGTGAATATATGAATTGCTTACGTTAATTCTCATAGAATTGAAGTTTTTGATGATTCTGCTTTTTTATCCTTCTTCCTTAATCTCTCTATTACATTTCCAAAGTTGAGATTCTCCTAAACTGAGTGGAGCCTATAAGCCGTCTTGTCTCGTTTGAATTTCTGAGATTTTGATAGGTTCATGAGCTACAAAGTTTGTCTCTTTCCTCAGAATTTTGTTTGTTTATGCGAATGTCGCTATATAATAAGGCCGTTTCTTTTGCCAGTGGCTGTAGATAAGTGGCTGGACTCGTTTGATGAATTTAGTTTACTATCTAGGAAGAGAAACTGAGAACTATATGAATCTCTGGTTAGCTTCTTCTTTATTGGGAACAAAATAGATTTTGGATGGTGGTTAAAGATTTGTATTTTTTGTTCTTGCTGCTAGAAATGTGATCTGCCTGAGTCACTGAATGTGGGGAATGGGAATCCAAGTATCCCAATTATTAATGAGAGGACACTTCCAAATTTCTTGGAATCTGCCCGGATGGAGAAATCGGTCAGTAGAACCAATACCAGGCTCAAGTTGTTCTCCGGTACTGCAAATCCAGCACTCTCTCAGGAAATCGCTTGGTACATGGGCTTGGAGCTTGGCAAGATCAACATCAAGAGATTTGCTGACGGAGAGATCTACGTTCAGCTACAAGAAAGCGTTAGGGGATCCGACGTCTACTTGGTGCAGCCTACTTGTACTCCAACAAACGAGAACCTCATGGAGCTTTTGATTATGATAGATGCTTGCCGAAGAGCATCCGCCAAGAAAGTTACAGCCGTGATTCCGTATTTTGGATATGCAAGAGCTGACAGGAAGGTGAGTAGATTACACTACTCCTGACCACATATGGAGGGTTCTTGATATCTTGAAGCTGTTGGGTCATCTTTGCTTGCTAAAAAAAACTTCATCTTATGTGTCTTTTGTTCCTGCTTGCAGACACAAGGGCGTGAATCCATTGCTGCCAAATTGGTTGCTAACCTTATTACCGAAGCTGGTGCAGATCGAGTTCTTGCTTGTGATCTTCATTCGGGACAGTCGATGGGTTACTTTGACATTCCAGTCGACCATGTGTACTGCCAGGTACAACTCTAAAGCCATGTTCTTGATAGCTTCGGCCTCTCCTCTTTATGCAGTATGTGTGTATGATCTTTAATCCATACTACCTTGTAATATGTTTTTCAGCCTGTGATACTTGATTATCTTGCTAGCAAGTCGATTTCCTCAGAGGATTTGGTAGTGGTTTCTCCTGATGTTGGTGGAGTAGCCAGGGCACGCGCTTTTGCAAAGAAGTTATCAGATGCTCCACTTGCCATTGTCGACAAAAGGCGTCATGGACACAATGTTGCTGAGGTAATTTACCATTTTTCTCTGTCGAAGTCAGAGTTTGCTCAACAACACCTCTTGCTTCCCCTCGAGTTCACATGCGTTATATACTTTCCTTTCAGGTCATGAACCTAATTGGCGATGTAAGAGGGAAGGTGGCAGTAATGGTCGATGATATGATTGATACCGCTGGTTAGTAAAAAAAACATCATGGACTTGGCTTAATCTTACTCTTCCAAGAAACATTCTACATACTAACCAAGCTTCTGAGTTTCCTGTTCTCCATCAAGATCACTAAAGACCCGTTCTCCTTTTCTAGGCTGAACCTTCTTTGAACCATTCTTGTTCTGTTTTTTTTTTCTTTTTCTCAGGAACCATTGTAAAAGGAGCAGCTTTGTTACACCAGGAGGGTGCTCGGGAGGTGTATGCGTGCTGCACTCACGCTGTTTTCAGGTAACCCAATTAACCGATATTTTGTTCTTGTAACAGTCTCAAAATCATTACTTTCTGAAGCAAGACTATTGTTTGTAATGAATCAATGGAAGCCCGCCTGCGATAGAGAGATTATCTGGGGGTTTGCTGCAAGAAGTGATAGTGACGAACACATTACCAGTAGCGGAGAAGAATTACTTCCCGCAGCTGACGATTTTATCGGTGGCGAATCTTCTAGGTGAGACGATATGGCGTGTCCATGATGATAGCTCCGTCAGTAGCATTTTCCTTTGACCTCTCATCTCTGTCTCATTCGCATCATCATTTGAACGTTTCTTGCTTTTCTTAGTCGGTTTAAGGGTCGGTTTCGAATCGGGTTTTAAAGATTATCCCGGTTTATGTTCTAACCATGCGTCAGCGTCACCAAAATTTTATTGCTTTGTCTTTATACAGGTTAGGGTTTTTCTTACTTGGTCCACATCTCAATATGGATTCACCAATTGATATTGAGTCGATTTTGATTTATGGTGTACACAAGTTTCCAAATTGATTTATCCTCTCGTAACCTATTTTCTACATATGTCGCAAACCGACTCAAAATCTCGTTTAACAGTTTGAAAATGGGTTGTCTTTATTGTTGATTAGAACGACTTTCGTCATTGGAGATATCCATGAGAACTTAACTCATGGGAACTCCAAATGCCATTTGTCTCTTTTTTTATTGTTTGATTCTTTCCTTACAATTAAAATTTATATAGATTAAAACTAGATTACGTTAAATAGTATTATTACATTGTTACCCGATGTGGATGCTCTTAGGTCCATTGGATGGAGCCGTGTGTTTGTATATTTGTTTTGTTTAGGTCGACAAGCGGCTATTTGCTCCATTAGTTTGAAAATGGATTGTCTTTATTGCTGCTCCATTAGTTTAATGTTACGTATGACACAAGTATCAAGTACAAACACAAATTAAAGTATGAATTTGTATTTGGAATGTTCCATCAACTGGGGTATTTGGTCAATCATAAGAAAAACAAATGATAAAACTACCCAACATGGCAACATCCATCCCTATATAGTAGACCTCACAACCTCTTCCATCTTATACACAAACAATAACCAAAACATGGCTCTCACAAAAATCTCCCTCATCCTTATCCTCTGCCTCTTAGGTTTCTATTCCAAAATCGTCAAGTCTCAGAACTGCGGTTGTTCCCTGGGCCTATGTTGTAGCCAATTCGGTTACTGCGGTACCGGCAAGGAATACTGTGGTCCTGGTTGCCGATCAGGTCCTTGCAGTGCAAGCCAAGGCGATAGTCTCGGTTCCATTATGTCACAAGCTTTCTTTGACAGTATTATCAACCGAGCCGCTAATAACTGCGCCGGAAAAAGATTCTACACACGTGACTCTTTCATTAGCGCCGCCAATACATTCCCCAGCTTTGGTACTTCCGTTACAAAGCTTGAAATTGCTACTATGCTCGCTCATTTCACCCAGGAGATCGGATGTAAGAATTCCTTTACATACAAATATATATATATATATATATATCTTAGTAATTGATTACATATATAACAAATAATAATTCTAACAAGCTAGTTGTGTTTAAACCTCATTACTTGAAATTTACTAATGATTTTATGATTACAATATAACAACTTGTGGATTAGATTTCTGCTACATAGAAGAAATCGACGGAGCGACACGAAACTACTGCAACAAGGAGTACCCACAATACCCATGTGCACCGGGCAAAACCTACTACGGTCGTGGTCCGATTCAACTATCATGGAACTACAACTATGCACCATGTGGTCAGAGTCTAGGTCTCGACCTTCTACGCCAGCCCGAGCTTGTGGGTAGCAATCCAACTGTTGCATTCAGGACGGCTTTGTGGTTTTGGATGAATAACGTTAGGCCGGTACTGAGTCAAGGATTTGGAGCCACTATTAGAGCCATCAATGGAAAATTAGAGTGTAACGGTGCGAATACAGAAAAGGTTAATTCAAGGATTAAGTACTATAGAGACTATTGTGTCCAGCTTGGTGTGGACCCTGGTCCTAACCTTAGCTGTTAAGAAGCTCTTTAAAAGACTATTGTGTGGACGTTCGTGCTTAATGTGAATTAATAAGTGAGATTATATAAATTAAATCTCATGCATGTACTCTCTGTTGGGTTCCAACGTTTCCTGCTTCACAAGCAAAAAAGTTGTTGTCAGTTTGTAACAGTATTCTGAAAGTGAATTTCACATTAATAAACGTATGAGTTTGATAATTATGGTATCTGCTTTTGAGTTATTCGTAGGAAAAAAATCATTAAATGTTATGACAATGATTAGAATCTATCATACCTCAACCAAATGTCATTCTGGCCTATATAATAAATGTTGTAACTTCTTATCTATGTGTCATATATATATATATATATATATCTACTATGGCCAAATCAATTGAAAAGTCAGTTTTAATTTTTGTAAAAAGGTGGAACTTTCCATTGCACCACCGTTCGATTGACTTTAAATCATTTTTAAAATAATAATTAACTTATAGTTTCTACATACGTATGATACAACTATCAAGTACTAAACCATTAAAAAATGGATATCAAATACGACATTGTATTTGGTTAATCATAAGAAAATAAAGATGTGAGATCTTACATATTTGGTTAATCATATCAACTACCAAGTCCACATTTGTTGTTTTAATATTAAAAATAAAATATCTGAATTCAATCACACTACAATTGTAGTTTTATATTGCAATTTGATTTATAGAAAGTTTACCAATAACCAATTACACATCGGAATGGACTGATGGTGATTAATCTCATTATATTATTACCATTGTTGGTATGAGAATCGATCATACCGCAACCAAATCAAGCTCTTTTTAATTTTGATTTTTGTATGATGTTGTTTTTTGTTTCTATTGGATCTGAGAATATGATGAATCTCATATAACAAATGGGTAATTTGCGACTGATTATACATTGATGTCTATTCACCTTGGAGAACTGATTCTCAGATTCCAATTATAAACTTTTGTATATTTGAAAGATACGTTTTTCTTTATTATCGATTTTAAGGTTTTGTGTTAAAGTATTTCTCTGGGCAGGTGATGAAATTATATTTCATGGGTAATTTGCGTCTGAATCTTTTTGATGTTAACTTAATGATAATCTGATGCCCAGAAGAAAATCCCAACTTAATTTACAGTTTCTATGTATTTTTTGTTGATTTGGTTACTTGTGGACTTTGGAAATTACTAAATTCTTGAATTGGTCTGGAGAACTTCCTAATAGTTGCTTTCTGATGATTCGGGGAACTCACTGAAGCTTATGATTGCTTAGTCTAATCAGAAATTAGAAAGTGACCGTAACACTAATCACTGGATGTCTATCACATGTCACTGGTAATGTGTCTTAATATTCAGACATTGATAAATCTACAACTCTCTCTAATTTCACCTTCAATACCTGTAAGAACCTTGATATTACCCATTTTCAACATAGATTCAACAAAGTCTAGGAAGAAGAGATCTTGATCCACTGCATATTCCCAGACCTTCTTGAAGATCTCTCCTTCATGATCTTCGGTGACCAGGACGTTATCCGAAATCAACAACCCTCTTCCTTTCAAAAGATTAATGTAATAATGATTATCAAAGAAAGCCGGTGTCTGGATATCCAACGGTGACAGTTCGTTATCTCGGCTAGAATCTTTGCACTGTGACCGTAGGATTCGCCGGAACGTGCTGTGTCTCTTGAACTCATCGACATAGAACGTTTGCTCCATGTTTGGTTGAACGATGCGTTGCTTGAAGCTCAAGCATCTCGCTTTACCTATTGTATGGGCCCCCGAAAGAGCGATGAGATCTTGAATGGTCCACATCTCATTATGGATTTACCGAGCCGATTTTGGTTTATGGTATACACAAGTTTCCAAGTTCATTTATCCTCTCGTTACCTATTTATCGATATGGCGCAAACTGACTCGGAATTTTTTACAGTTTTAAAATGGGTTGTCTTTACTGTTGATTAGAACGACTTAGGTCCAATAGAGGTTTTGTCGAATTCTCCTACAGAATTAGCATCTTAAGAGATGCTGAAAAACAAATCATTGGAGCCGTGTGTTTATAATATATTTGTTTTGTTTAGGTCGACAAGCAGCTATTTGCTCCATTAGTTTGTTATACAAGTATAAGTACAAGACAAATCTAAGTATGGATTTGTCTTTGGAATGTTCCATCAAATCGTACATAATTGTCTTGCTTTGAAAAATAAGTTAGAATCCTTGGACCAAGTCAACATTGTTTAAAGAAAAACTAAAAGTCATTAAAACCCATGTTAAATACCTATTATACACATTCTGAAAAACCAAATGACAAAACTACCCAACAACATCCATCCCTATATAATATGTCTCAAAACATCTTTCCATTTCATCCACAAACAATAATCAAAACATGGCTCTCACAAAAATATCTTTAGTCCTTCTCATCTGCCTCTTAGGTTTCTATTCAGAAATGGTCAAGTCACAGAACTGCGGTTGTTCCCCGGGCCTATGTTGTAGCCAATACGGTTATTGCGGTACCGGCAACGAATACTGTGGTCCTGGTTGCCGATCAGGTCCTTGCAGTGCAAGCCAAGGCGATAGTCTCGGTTCCATTGTGTCACAAGCTTTCTTTGACAGTATTATCAACCGAGCCGGTAATGATTGCGCCGGAAAAAGATTCTACACACGTGAATCATTCATTAACGCCGCTAATACTTTCCCGGGCTTTGCTACTTCCGTTACTAAGCTTGAAATTGCCACTATGTTTGCTCATTTCACTCAGGAGGTCGGATGTAAGAATTTTCCTTGTTCTTATCTTTTCTTTCTTGAATCAAAAGTTTTTTTTTTTCCGTAAATTTAGCTTTCGTCAACACTAATTATATACATACATCTTAGTATACAAGACATAAGAAAAATTCTAAAAAGTGAAATGCTGGTTTAACCCCCAGTACTTAAAATATAAATGACTTGACTTGTTCCGAATTAATTAAGCTGTTTCTAATTAAAGAACTTTGTTTCATGCGCCTATCTCTATACCGTGTAGATTTCTGCTACGTAGAAGAGATAAACGGAGCGTCAGAAAACTACTGCGACGACAAGAAGTACCCACAATACCCATGTGCACCGGGCAAAACCTACTTCGGTCGAGGTCCGATTCAACTATCATGGAACTACAACTACGCACGATGTGGTGAGAGTCTAGGTCTCGACCTTCTACGCCAGCCCGAGCTTGTTGGTAGCAATCCAACTGTAGCATTCAGGACGGCTTTGTGGTTTTGGATAAATAACGTTAGGCCGGTACTGAACCAAGGATTTGGAGCTACTATTAGAGCCATCAATGGAAGATTAGAGTGTAACGGTGCGAATCCAGAAAAGGTTAATGCAAGGATTAGGTATTATAGAGACTATTGTGGCCAGCTTGGTGTGGACCCTGGTCCTAACCTTAGCTGCTAAAAAGCTCTTTAAAAGACTAGTTGGGTGATTTGGTTTCAGGTGAAATAATATAAGTGAGACAATAAAACTTAATCTCATGCATGTACTTTCTGTTGGGTTCTAATGTTTCCTGCTTCACAAGCAAAAAAAAAAAAGTTGTTGTAATAATCTCATGAAAATGAAAGTGAATTTCACATTAATAAATCTTTGAGTTTGATAATTACGGTATCTGCTTTTGAATTATTATCAGGAATAAAAGCTCTCTCCTGGCAAGAATATAGTGGAATTATAGATTGTGTCTTTTAGTTATTTTTGTGAGATAAATTTTAAATTAATTATTTAGTTCAAGTGCAAGTAAAAACTGTAAAACTAGAAAATAAAATTCATATCGTATTTATATTGCGATTTGATTTATACAATTGTAGGTTTGTATTGCGATTTTTGATTTATAAACAGTTAACAAATAACTAATTGCAGTACATCGGAGTAGTGGTTAATCGATCATACCGTATCAAAATTATTTTAGCATTTATTGGTATGACAAAGATTATAATCGATCATACCGCAACCAAATCAAGTTGTCATTCGGGAGTAACTTTCAGTCTATGTGTCGTGTTCGATTTCGTAATATGAGACTACTTTGACCAAATCAATTGAAAAGTCAATTCTAATTTCCAAAGAAAACAAATGTACTTGACAGTTTTGAGTCTTGCTTGACCCGCGTCAAATCAATTTTGCTAAGAAGCCCATACAAAATTAGACACATATCATACATACATCTTTTTTTTTGGTCAACTGTTTAATTAAAAACTGAAAGGAGTTCATACAAGGCCCAATGAGCTGATGGAAATAAGGGCAGATTTTGCCAGCCCATCCGCAACAGAATTATCAGAGCGCTTAAGGAAGAAGAATAATCATACATATATCTATGCTTTTTTAGTCCATAAAAAGCCCAAAAAGAAGAAGAATAAAATTAGGGCTTCTTGTCTTAACTAATACATATATATATATACACACCCAACATCACAATTGAAAGACAAGCCGATTGTGTTCTGTGCATTATTCTTATTTTTCTCGGGTTTAATTTCTTTTTCGATTAGTTCTGTTTGATTTGTGCTTACAAGTTTAATTGATCTGCTGTGATGAAAAATTTCGTGTGCCAGAGATGTTCTTCATCGCTGACGGTAAAACACAACCCTCTAAGAAGTTCTGAGCTTTTCACAGATCTTTTATTCTTTCTCAGTTAAATGTTTGCTTTCGTTTTCAAATTTAAAGTATTAGAGATTTTTTGAGTCGAGGTGACGATAAAAATTTCACATGTCTGTCAATCCTCTGAAACATTTTGTGATGTTATTGTGATATCTATCAAGTTCTGATCGACTAAAAAACTGAAATTTAAACAAATTATTAGTTCTTTTTAATTTTGATTTTTGTATTATGTTTTTTGTTTCTATTGGATCTGAGAATATGATGAATCTCATATAACAAATGGGTAATTTGCGACTGATTATACATTGATGTCTATCACCTTGGAGAACTGATTCTCAGATTCAAATTATAGTATTACTTTTGTACTTTTTTGAAAGATTCGTTTTTCTTTATTATCGATTTTAAGGTTTTGTTGTCAAAGTATTTCTCTGGGCAGGTGATGAAATTACATTTCATGGGTAATTTGCGTCTGAATCTTTTTGATGTTAACTTTATGATAATCTGATGCCCAGAAGAAAATCCCAACTTAATTTACAGTTTTCTAAGTTTTTTTTGTTGATTTTGTTAACCTCTGAACATTGAAAATTATAAATTCTTGAATTGGTACGAAGCTTGTGATTACACATAACCCGAAATTAGAACGTGACTAAACACCAACTTTGTAATAGAGCAAAATTCGTATCACTAATCACTGGATGTCTATCACATGTCACTGTTAATTTATAACCCTTAATTTTCAGACATTGATAAATCTACAACTCTCTCTAATTTCACCTTCAATTCCTGTAAGAACATTGATATTACCCATTTTCAACATAGATTCAACAAAGTCTATGAAGAAAAGATCTTGATCCACTGCATATTCCCAAACCTTCTTGAAGATTTCTCCTTCATGATCTTCAGTGACCAGAACGTTATCCGAAATCAACAACCCTCTTCCTTTCAAAAGATTAATGTAATAATTATTATCAAAGAAAGCCGGTGTCTGGATATCCAACGGTGACAGTTCGTTATCTCGGCTAGAATCTTTGCACTGTGACCGTAGGATTCGCCGGAATGTGCTGTGTCTCTTGAACTCATCGACGTAGAATGTTTGTTCCATGTTAGGTTGAACGATGCGTTGCTTGAAGCTCACGCATCTCGCTTTACCTATTGTATGAGCGCCCGAAAGAGCGATGAGATCTTGAATATCGAGGCCTTGTTGCTTGAAGTTTATGATGAGGCTGTGGAGGGAAGAGTTTGGTGCCGGAATAAATTGGTTTGCGCCGGAGAAGCTTGCCTTCAATGAGTCTCTTCTCCCTAGCAAAACTTCCCACCATGGTCCACCTCTCTGATAATATATATACCAATCAATTTTGTTTTACAAAAATTGACCCCTTTAGTATCTATCTAATCAGAAACACCCCTAAGAAGAAAGTACCAGGAAGACAGAGTCACGAGCGGCTATGGTGATGATATCCGAACAAGAAACGGTTAAAGGACAAGCTTCTTCGAGGAGGTACTTTATGTAATCGATTACTTCGAACCCACGCAGTGAGTTAACGTTAGGAGTTGCTTGTTTCTCACTCAATATATCTCCATGTGTATCCAAGAGCACAGACGCATCACAACCCTAAAAATAAAATCCGCAATCAAAACACCAAAACGACACGCTAAAACAATCTTTGACTCTCTGATAACCAAATTCGAATACCGTTCAAGAAGTAGGCTTGAATTAGAGTCTGAAAACTACTTAAAAATGTTATGATCTTAAGAGAGAATAGAAGCAAGAACTCGCAAATCTGCAAAGAAGGGGATAGAAAGAGTAGAAAGGGACGATTTCTTACCAAGACGAAGCAGTCGTGAAACTGAAGGCGAAGAAGAGAAGCCGCCATACGAGGATCTCTTAGCACAGCAACCTCGACGTTATGCTTCACGATTTCTTCAGCTAAAGGGCAACTCTCTTTGTAGAAACCCTTCACCAATGGTCCTCCAAAGTCTCCAAAAGCCGAGGTCGTAATCGCAGAAAGCACGATTAAAGAGACCCATAGCTTCTTCAGATTGATCTCCATTGAAAAGTTATGTCCTGTTTTTTTGCATCTCTGTATGTGTGTGGCTGCATATATGTGAGCGCTTCGTGTGTTAATTTTCTGCTGTATGTTACTATATGTCGTTATGTATGTTTTCATGCCCAACTTTGATCAAATTGGATGTTACAGTTTTGTCAAAGGTAGATACAACCAATATAGACCTAACTTGCCTTGTAGGCTATGATTATAATATAACCAGAGCCAATGTTTGGTCAAAAGAATTCACTTAAAAAGAATAAAATGACGTGAAGAAAGTAACATTCATATATATAAACAAAAAACTGGATCAGAAATGTAAAAAATCAACGAAGCATACATTCTTGGTGTGTTTGTTAGATTTCTGCTTCATCTTCTCGAACTTTTATATGTAATGTTGGTCATAGACTCATAGTATTTGCAAATCGAGAGAATGAGCATGAGAATATGATAAATTGGACTTTTTTCTCTCTCTCTCTCTCTCTCTCTTTTGAAGGAAGTTTGAAACATACATAGAGACAAAGAGAAACCCTCCTAGTGAGCAGCATCTTCTTCCTCGCAGAACTTGGTGTATTCCTTTGGACCCATCAAAGTTTCTAACTCCGCAGGGTTGCTCGGCTTCACTTTGATCATCCAACCATCTTCATAAGGGCTTGAGTTGATCTACACAACATACAATTGGCTTTATATGTTTGTTCACCTGAGAGGTAACTTAAACTTTATGTCCTCAAAGACATTTTAAAGCGTACCAAGCCTGGTGATTCTGTGAGCTTCTTGTTAACCTCAATGACTTCACCTGAGATGGGTGATAAGATCTCACTTGTCGCCTTCACACTCTCCACTGCTCCAAAGTTTTTCTCTTTGCTCACCGAACCATTTTCCTCTGGCAGTTCCACAAACACCACTTCGCCTAAATGCCCCTGCAACATCAGTGTCATGTCTCCTCTTATTCATCTTTATAACATTCTCTTGTCAAGTTCTAATGTAACAAAGTTGCTCTGATCTAGCCAGTTTCTGAGCTATTGATACAGTTAGATTACGAAACAACAAACCAAGGTTACGGTTCATCTTCCTCACTTGGAACCAAAACTATCAAAAGAGGAAAAAGCCGAGAGGTGGAGCATCTGTTACCTGAGCATGGTCAGTGATGCCAATGGTGGCAACAGAGCCTTCATGTTTAACCCACTCGTGTGAATTTGCATACTTCAGTCCCTCCAACACTAAAAAAACAAAAAAACAGACACTCCCATCAACAATTTCAGACAAAAGCTATGCAACACATAATTACATGCACTATTTACAATAACCTGAGGAGAAGCATCTGGAGATGGAGAAAGCAGGAGAGAGATGAGACTTGGATACATGTGAAGAAAGTTTGAGAGCGTTTGCTGTAGAAGAAGCCCACATTCTCAATGCCATCTTCTTTTCTTTCTTGCTCTGTGTTTTGTCTTCCCCCAATAAAGAGGAGATCTTAAAGATGTAAATTTTCTTTCTTTCATTATTTGTTTTTTTTGTGTGTTTTCTATTCAATCTATGATATGTAAGGCAGAAATTGAAGGCCTCATCTTATGCCTATGGTGTGTATAAAAAGTGTGACCCTAACCTTCTCTATTACTCAGAAGCTCTTGCAATTACTTTTTTGGATTCTGTTTTTATGTTTGGGGCTTTTACGCTATCTGAAACCTTTTGGGGTTAATGTAGAATAAATAAATATGTTTGGGCGGATACGGAATATTGAAAACTCAAATCGATTCTCCATCATCGGAGGAGCTACTGAGACAACAAACTCCGTTTTCCAATCCCCAATTCGAAGCCCTTATCCTCAATCTCTGTTGATTGCCACAGTAAAATTGGTAGAGAGTGAGATCAGAGATGAATTCAATCGAAGAAATGAGCCCTGGCTCGACCAACGATGGCACCGTCGAGATCACGCACAAAACCATAGGCCCATCTCGGCCGTCTCGAATTCGAGTGGCGTCTCATATCAAAGTACGGATTTTTCTTCTTCTTCTATATCTCTCTCTCGCTAGGTATACTGTGTGTATGTGTACGAAGAGGATTGATCCCACGCTGATTTAGGTTCGTGATTTGAGGAATGCGATTGCGGAAAAGGGTCGATTTCCCGCCGCGAATTTGAGGATGATTCTGCGTGGGAAGACACTGCAAGACGAGGAAGATGGAGATGATCTCTACGTTAAGCTCAAGGACGAAGGTAAAAGATCTTCTGCTGAAAAGGATAAATGAGAGAGTAAGAATTATCTGTGTTTTGATTATGCAATTGGTTTCTGGTGTAGATTCCTTGATCGTTGCTGTCATACCAAAGCGACCAGTTGGAGTTGAGACCTATGATGATGACGATGATGATGAATTGGTAAACTATCGACATTTTGATCTGATGTTTAACTTCTAAAGAATGGTTTTTTTTTTATAGTTTTGGACCCTTTTAAAAATCTCTTTCTATTGTATTGGCACTGCAGAAGTTTCAGCTCCCGCCGTCAGCAAGCCGGTGGAAGAGGAAGCTCTATTACTTTCTGCGTAACAAGTTGAAGCTTCCCGGTGAGTTCTTTGATCTTTTCTCACTCATCCTCTCCAATTTCCAAGAACGTATGAAACAATATAGTTCATTGATCTAGTGTTGTGTGATGATGGTCTAGATATCATTCTTATGGGACTGTTCTCTGTAAGTCTAAAGATGTGGGCTATTATCACTTTGTGGTTTATCTTGGCGCCTATTGCCCATCGATGGGAACTCGGCCCTATATTTGTAAGTCATCTTCATCTTCAGTGTCTGTATTCCTGAAAAAGTTTCATGTTTTTTGCAATGCCATTGGATATGCATTACTCTGTAGACATCTTGTGTACAGAGATATTATATACTTGGTCACTTGCCTCAAATGTTGTTTTCTTTTGACGGGTTTCTTTGACGAGTTTCAGTTACTAGGAACTGGCTTTGCAATCATCTTGCTCAATCTTGGTAAACGACAACCCGGTGATGTCAGGTATGTACATTTCTAAAGCTTTATCCTCCGTTGATCTCACTGAGATAACAACTCGTTTGTGGAAAAAAATCCTCTCTTTTGATTATAAGTTCGGTGTTTTTTTTATTCTGCTTTCTTTCGCAGCGCATATTCCATATTCAACGAGGGTTTTAGAGAGCTTCCGGGTACGTATAATGCAGAACGTATAGACCGGGACATACGAGCAGGCCAGATATGATGCAAAGTTGCATCAAAACCGTTACATGTTAAGAGTCACATCAACGGTCGAACAGAACTTATACCCAATACGCAACCAAAAGATAAGATCAGTGTTTTTTGTCCCGTCAGATTGAGACACAACAGAAAGCAGTACAGTACTCGAGGCTAAAATTCCTATTGTTGTACATAAAGATCTAATCTTTTTAATTCCATGATCAGTGGTCAGCGTTGTACTAGAATATTTGATATTACATGATATTGATATATATATATATATATTTTGAAATTGTACGTTTTGTCATATTAATTTATGGGTGTGAAAATGAGTTATATTGGTCAACTGAGGTCCCATGAGCCTTGAGTGTGAATAAATTCAGAAACCAAATCTGTTTCTCGAGTGGGTGGCTGACGCTTTTTACCTTTGACAATTTCCCTGACTTGTAATTTCAATAAATCCAAATATCCACTATGAATTATGGAATTATACGGATTCAATTATTAATAGTAACACAAAGTCGTGCTCCTTAAGGTACACATATAAAAAAGTAAACGCGTTTCTCATTTAAATTCAAATCGCTTTTGCTTTATAAATTTGGTGAAGAAAAGTTAAACCTAAAGCAAGTTTTTTTCCTGTGCTAAAATTGTATTTAAAACTGCATTTTCCTTAGTAATAAACTTTGATAAAAGGGTTTTCTTGGCTGTGAATTGTGGGTGGTAGTTGGAGTGACTTTGCCAATTCTTGACGGCACGTACTGTCCTAACTAAAAGTCAAACTTCTCGGTTATCTACACAGCAATGTACATACATTATATAGTATTCAAATATTGTTTGGATTTTTTCACTATGATTTTAAAGGTAGTACGTACTGTGTATGATTACATGTAACATTTTTTTAGTATTACTGTTACATTGACAGTAATATCAGTAACTCAGTAAAATATGTAGATGCCAAAAGAGTGTAGGACAACACACTATCAAATATATGATCAATTACTTTTTACAAAAAAAAATAGATTATATATTCTGAATCCTAGATAAGTTTGAATATATATATTTTTTTTTGTTCAAATAGATAAGTTTGAATATATATGTAGCCTAAATTGAAACAAAAGTCTGAAATTCTTGATGAACGAAAAAAAATGAGTATTAAAGTAATAAACAAAAACAAGAATTAAAAAGGAAAGGGGGACAAGACAAGAAGTCTTAAGCGGGAAAGGGAATCCGACAAGAATGACGTCGTTTCAGCGAAGGAGTCTACGAAGTGGGTTCCACATGTCAACACCTCGTTGACTATTGCTCTTTAATCTCCCTTCCGTGGACCCTACGTTGCCTAATCGTAATTAAGTCATAGGGATGGGCATTTCGATTTACTTATGGTTTCGATTCGGTTAGTTTGGTTATACTAAAATTCTAACTGAACTCAATCAAAATTAATTCAGTTTTGACTTCGGTTCGGTTTGGTTTAAATATGATTCAGTTTGATTTGTTTAATTTGGTTAATACTTAATAATTTACAAAACAAAACTTTGTGTAAATACTAAACATAATATCGGAATCAAAATAAAAATGTAAACTGTTTTAAACAACAAAACTCGTAAAACAAAAAAAATTCTCGTTCAAAGTCATACTCAACTAAAAAGAAAACCAAAACACCCAATTTCATCATATCATAGTATCTATCTTGCTTTTACAGCCTAAAAAAAAGCTTGCAACAAATCAATATCAACACAAATTTAAATAAAAAAACTAGAAATTTAATAATTAATATTTAAAAAATATTTTGATTTTCGGTTTAGTTTGGTTTAAAACTGAACCGAACCGAACCATTCAGATTGATACTAATCTCAACCAAAATGTTTTGGTATAAACTTCGGTTCAGTTTGATTCGGTTGGTTTGAGTTAATTCACTTCGGTTTGGTTGGATTT